CACGGGGCCCTTTGTCCCCAGCCCTCCCACCTCTCCCCCAGAGCTCCAGGCTGCCTGCCACACATCTGTAACCGCTCTGGGTGCACCAGCACGGGGGCCCTTTGTCCCCAGCCCTCCCACCTCTCCCCCAGAGCTCCAGGCTGCCTGCCACACATCTGTAACCGCTCTGGGTGCACCAGCACGGGGCCCTTTGTCCCCAGCCCTCCCACCTCTCCCCCAGAGCTCCAGGCTGCCTGCCACACATCTGTAACCGCTCTGGGTGCACCAGCAACGGGGCCCTTTGACCCCAGCCCTCCCACCTCTCCCCCAGAGCTCCAGGCTGCCTGCCACACATCTGTAACCGCTCTGGGTGCACCAGCAACGGGGCCCTTTGACCCCCAGCCTCCCACCTCTCCCCCAGAGCTCCAGGCTGCCTGCCACACATCTCCAGCCCACCCAGGAGCACCAGCAACGGGGCCCTTTGACCCCAGCCTCCCACCTCTCCCCCAGAGCTCCAGGCTGCCTGCCACACATCTCCAGCCCACCCAGGAGCACCAGCAACGGGGCCCTTTGACCCCCAGCCTCCCACCTCTCCCCCAGAGCTCCAGGCTGCCTGCCACACTCCTCCAGCCCACCCAGGAGCACCAGCAACGGGGCCCTTTGACCCCCAGACCTCTCCCCAGAGCTCCAGGCTGCCTGCCACACTCCTCCAGCCCACCCAGGAGCACCAGCAACGGGGCCCTTTGACCCCAGCCTCCACCTCTCCCCAGAGCTCCAGGCTGCCTGCCACACTCCTCCAGCCCACCCAGGAGCACCAGCAACGGGGCCCTTTGACCCCCAGCCCTCCCACCTCTCCCCCAGAGCTCCAGGCTGCCTGCCACACTCCTCCAGCCCACCCAGGAGCACCAGCAACGGGGCCCTTTGACCCCCAGCCCTCCCACCTCTCCCCCAGAGCTCCAGGCTCTGCCACACTCCTCCAGCCCACCCAGGAGCACCAGCAACGGGGCCCTTTGACCCCCAGCCCTCCCACCTCTCCCCCAGAGCTCCAGGCACTCTGCCACACTCCTCCAGCCCACCCAGGAGCACCAGCAACGGGGCCCTTTGACCCCCAGCCCTCCCACCTCTCCCCCAGAGCTCCAGGCACTCTGCCACACTCCTCCAGCCCACCCAGGAGCACCAGCAACGGGGCCCTTTGACCCCCAGCCTCCCACCTCTCCCCCAGAGCTCCAGGCACTCTGCCACACTCCTCCAGCCCACCCAGGAGCACCAGCAACGGGGCCCTTTGACCCCCAGCCTCCCACCTCTCCCCCAGAGCTCCAGGCTCTGTCACACTCCTCCAGCCCACCCAGGAGCACCAGCAACGGGCCCTTTGACCCCCAGCCTCCCACCTCTCCCCAGAGCTCCAGGCACTCTGCCACACTCCTCCAGCCCACCAGGAGCACCAGCAACGGGCCCTTTGACCCCAGGCCTCCCACCTCTCCCCCAGAGCTCCAGGCACTCTGTCACACTCCTCCAGCCCACCCAGGAGCACCAGCAACGGGGCCCTTTGACCCCCAGGCCTCCCACCTCTCCCCCAGAGCTCCAGGCACTCTGTCACACTCCTCCAGCCCACCCAGGAGCACCAGCAACGGGGCCCTTTGACCCCAGGCCTCCCACCTCTCCCCCAGAGCTCCAGGCACTCTGTCACACTCCTCCAGCCCACCAGGAGCACCAGCAACGGGGCCCTTTGACCCCCAGGCCTCCCACCTCTCCCCCAGAGCTCCAGGCACTCTGTCACACTCCTCCAGCCCACCCAGGAGCACCAGCAACGGGGCCCTTTGACCCCCAGCCTCCCACCTCTCCCCCAGAGCTCCAGGCACTCTGTCACACTCCTCCAGCCCAGCCAGGAGCACCAGCAACGGGCCCTTTGACCCCCAGGCCTCCCACCTCTCCCCCAGAGCTCCAGGCACTCTGTCACACTCCTCCAGCCCACCAGGAGCACCAGCAACGGGGCCCTTTGACCCCCAGGCCTCCCACCTCTCCCCCAGAGCTCCAGGCACTCTGTCACACTCCTCCAGCCCACCAGGAGCACCAGCAACGGGGCCCTTTGACCCCCAGGCCTCCCACTCTCCCCCAGAGCTCCAGGCACTCTGTCACACTCCTCCAGCCCAGCCAGGAGCACCAGCAACGGGGCCCTTTGACCCCCAGGCCTCCCACCTCTCCCCCAGAGCTCCAGGCACTCTGTCACACTCCTCCAGCCCACCCAGGAGCACCAGCAACGGGGCCCTTTGACCCCCAGGCCTCCCACCTCTCCCCCAGAGCTCCAGGCACTCTGTCACACTCCTCCAGCCCACCAGGAGCACCAGCAACGGGGCCCTTTGACCCCCAGGCCTCCCACCTCTCCCCCAGAGCTCCAGGCACTCTGTCACACTCCTCCAGCCCACCCAGGAGCACCAGCAACG